TCAATTTATTATTTTAAAAAGATATTTTTTAATTTCTTACTTTAAATCTTTTTCCTTCATTTCAGCAGCTATTTGAAGGATTTTACGAGCATTTGCAACTTTCTGAATAGTAAAAATAAAATAAACGTTATTTGATAAGAAAAACTAACCATAGCAAAAATTGTAAATACAATTTGTTCAGAAGAAATTAAAAAACTTATTTAAAGAACGTACTTTTTCTTTTCTTTCTTCCTTAATAGCTTCATTTTGATAAGAAGATATGAGATATTGATACAACATGTTTTTGTTTTCATTGTAAAATCCAGGTAAATCTGGTTCAGCCTGGTTAAAAATATATTCTTTAATCAAAACAAAGTTTTGTTTTCTAAAACAGGTATTAATAAAAAAAATAATTTATACCATCAGTTTGTCAAAACAGAATTGTGCAGCACTGCTATTCCCAATCTTGGCAGCCATCTTGAAAATAAATAAAACTCATAAAAAATACAATTTTAATTAAGTAATAAGATATTGTTACACACATGCTATAAAAAAATACACATACAATAAAAATATACATAGAAACTAGTGATTGACCAAAATTCTGTTTCAGCCAAAATTTCAATTCGAACCGATACCAAAATTTAGGTTGAAAAACATACCGAAAAACAATTTTTATCTCATTTAGAAAAACATTATTTTCACAAAATATTTTGAGAACTTTAACAAAATACCTCAAAAAAATCTTGTTTTGCAGAGAAAATCTGCCATTTGTTAAATTTCGCTATTAACTTATATCTCTAACTTATGTATTAAATCTCAATTTCGGATACATGTGAAAATAATTCTAACATAATATAATATAAAATGTAAAATTGCATTTTTATATAAATTTTTCTAATAAAATGAATTTTGAATAGCCGAAATACGGTATCGATTTTGGTAAAATATTTGTCGAAATGTCAGTTTCGGCACCACATTTGAGTACCTGTTTATTCCTGTTTCAGCTTTTTCTCTTTTGGTCGGTCACTAGTAGAAACAATTGGTTTCATCAAACAAAAGTACCACAATAATACCTCATTATGAGTCATACCCGTATCATAAGAATCTGCTGGTTATTATCAGGCTCGATGCCATGTTCTTTTAGCGTACGAATAAACTTTTAAAAAATATATATGTAGTTATAAAAAAAGTAGAAACACAAACTAAAATCATCAAAACAAAATCTCAACTAAATCACAGAAGTTATTAAAGGGAAGAAAAAAAGTATAAAAAATCATATATTGCTTAAAATAAACCACAAATGTTTGTATGTATGTAGATACAAATGTTTGCATTATATATTGTAGCTGTAAAAATACAAGGGCCACTTATCAAAAACATAATGACCACTTATCAATCAGTGACACTATGGTATTTAATAAGTGGATGGCTCTAAGTCACAAAAAAAATTTGTAAACAAAATTATATTTAAAAAGTTTTTAACCTTACATATAAAGTCTTTTTAGTAAGAACTTTTGTTGTTAGTAAGAACTTTTGTTGTTAGTAAGAACTTTTGTTGTTAGTAAGAACTTTTGTTGTAAGTAAGTCTTTTTGTCAGTAAGAACTTTTGTTGTTAGTAAGTCTTGTTGTTAGTAAGAACTTTTGTTGTTAGTAAGTCTTGTTGTTAGTAAGAACTTTTGTTGTTAGTAAGTCTTGTTGTTAGTAAGTATTTTTATTAAAAAAAAAAATAAAACTAAACTTGGTTCTATTATAATAACTCTTTAAGTTTTAAAAAGTTTAAACAAAATCTAAATTATGTTATATTGTTTTTTTTGAATGTTTATAATATCAGAAAATATAAAACTGTTAAAGTATATTCACTGAATATTAGAGTTGATATTATTTGAGCACATTGAGTAGCTTTTCAAGCACATGTGCTTAGTACATATATAAGGCATTACCAAACACACATTTGTTTAATGTGATTCTTAAAAGTAACTAACAACTAAACCTCTGTTAATAAAAAAGATAAAATAAGTTTAATCAAAATTATATTCATTATGACATTTTAATTTTACATTTGGATCTGATATTATTTGTTGGTGATAGAACGTTGGTGATAGAACAACAGCCATTTAAATTAACTTCTGTTAATTTCTAATCTGATTTTAAATAACCTGTGCAACTAAGGAAGTGGCTTTTATAATATTGTATGGATAGCTACACAAGTAGCTATCCATACAATAACTTATTTTTTTTTTTAGCTTTTTTCAAACACATATATTTTGTTGTTAAACTTTTTTTAGAGCTTTATATCTAAACTCTTGTTATATTAAGCCATCGCAAACATGGCTTATTCTCTGTTTTTTTTTCCTTTCTTTTTTATATATTTGAAGAATTAATAAAAATTATATTTACTAATTCTTATTTGAAATTATATTTATTAATGATATATTTGAAGAATTAATAAAAATTAATTGGTAAATTTTGACACTTAGTTAGCAAAAGGCCTACTTACTAAGTCAACCCTCGGAATAAGGAAAAATGAGGTTGGCAATAAATTGCCAATTTCAAACTGTTAGAGGTCGGCATTAACTCAGCAAAAAAAAAAATTGACACAAAGAGGTTACCATAAAACATAGAAATGAGGTCAGTAATTTTTTGCTGACCTTAAACACTTTCAGGTTGGCATTGCCGAATGCCGACCCTAATTCCGAGGGTTGCTAAGTTAACCATTAATTTTATGTAATCCCATAGTTTGTTTTCATTTTTAACTCAACTTTTTTTACAAAAACAGCAAATTTAATTTCAAAAAGAGCCATAAAAAAAAAAAAAAAAAAAAAAAAAAAAAATGTTGTTCACCTCTGTGAGTTTAATGTCCAATTTGAGAAAAAGAAAAAAAACTTATTTACCTGGTTAAAAAATTATTCAATTTTTTTATAATTATTTATAAAAATGCAATATTATCTTATTTAAAAATTTATTTTACAAAAAATTTTACAAAAAATTTATTTAATAGTTATCTGAAAGAAAACTTTTATAACAACTTCATTATATCTTCTTTTCTATATAAAAAACTTGAAAAAAATGCAAAAATATGCATCATAATGAGCCTGACACCTACATAAAAACTAAAAAAAGACTTACTTGAAAAAAATATTCTGAGTTTGAAACACGAAAAAATGTAAACAAGCCTTTAAGTAAATTGTATTGAGCATTAGGAGTTGTTGGGATGCCCTAAAATGAAAAGAAAATTTAATACATAAAATAAAAAAATCTAAATGAAAAAACAACAACAAAATTTAATATAACAAGCAACATAATGATTTAGTAATCTTTTTCATTGTTTTAAAGTATTTATACCTATTTATTTATAAATTAAAATTTTCTGATATATACATAATGATTTTCCAAAATGTGTTAGCAAACTAACATGTGATGTGTTATTGTATGTATTATGCATAATGGTGATAGCTTTAAACTGTTTCTTGATGGCATACTTTTATGACTGGTAAACACCACAACAAAACATGTCAAAGTTGACCAAGTAATTGCTACATATTTTTTATATAAATTTTAAATTAACCATAATTATAATTGTCTAAACTAAAATGTGATATTATGGTGATATATGTATTATTTTATGTAACTTGTGGTAGTTATAACTTTACTGTCTTTTGATGACTATTTCTTTGAGCAGGGTGTTAAAAACATGACACATGGTTTGTATTTAAAAAAAAATATTCCTTTAAAACTACTTTTTTGGCTTGCATGATTATTTATACGTACTTAGTTAAGTTTAAATAGAATAATTGTTTAATATATTACCATAGTAACAAAAAACTTGCTTATATCTTATTTCAAATGTAATTTAAAACAAAACAATGAACTTTATATGTTCAAAAAATAATTAAAGTGTATATGTATAAAACCATATTTGTCTCAAATATAGAAAATGCTAGTTTCCATTTTTAAATTCCATGTGCATATCTGAAAATAATTTTAAACCAAATTAATAATTTCCTAAGTCATCTATTTTTTTGTGTACACAAAGCTTGTTCTTGTTTTGTAGTTTTTGAAACAATACAGAAAAAATGTTTAAAAAAATTTTTTAAATTAAAACTTTATTCAAGATATAAGATTTTGAATAAAATGAGTTTCATTTTTTATCCATTAAATATTTTACTTTATGAATTTAAATCGTTTAAAATTAAAAACTTCATTTTTATAATTTTAAAAATCACCTCTTGTATAAGGTTCAACATGAATGAATAAACTTCTTTGACATCTGCATAACTTCGATTAGAAACATCGCCAACAACCTTCTCAATAAGAACTTCTAAAAGTTTACATTTAAAAATAACAAAATAAAAAAAGAAAAGAAAACAAAACAACCAGATGAATACTAAATATTTATATATAATACATCAAAGAAGGTTTTTAGGGCTGCAAAACTCATTACTGAGATCACTTAAGAGGATTCCAACAGAAAACATAGTATAAATCAAGATAGACCTATTCTATGTTTTCTCTGCAACAATTACATTGTATGCAATTTAAAAAAATTAAAAATGAGCCACTATTAAATTCAGAAATGTTAAATTTTCTAAAGAATCTTCTGGCTGTATTTCTATCATACAATGCCAAGAAAATCTCTGAAAATCTAAAGAAGGTCTAGTTTTTACTTTCTTAGGATGCTTCTGAAATTTTTCTTTCTCCTCCCTAACACGCATCTTTACTGTGTCCTCTCTAGCCTTCCAGATCTCTAGACCTTTGTATAGTTGATGCATAAGAAGCACTAATGAAACCAAATCCAGTAAGAAAACTCATGGTCAAAATAATTCGAATTCTTTTTTATGCCTTTTGCTTTTATTACATATGATGTTTTGATCAATGGTGAATCATCCATATATGGAGCAGCTTCGACTTGGTCTGTTCACTGAGAACTGTAAATACCTTACCATCAACTGTTGTAAGCTCCAATTTAGGATTTACAAAGATAATGTCAATCATAATTAGAGGTATATCTACACCATTGATAAACTTTGCCTCTTTCACCTACCTGGTCTCCTTGATAAAGCATCATCCTCCCTCAAAAAGGTACAGGACTTAAATCTGGATCAGAACCTGAACCGATGTTTTATCAATTGTAATAACTGCAGTAATTGAGGAAGGGCCATGGAATGAATGAACCTCAGAAGATTATACCTAGAATACAAAATGGGTAAATAAAAGTAAAATTTTGTCTTGAAACTGACGCATTCAATGATAACTGTGATTGAAGACTAAAGGGGAATACGTAAATCTATTTTAACAAATTGTTCAGTAGAAGAAAAAAATAGATTAACCTTGAGATTTTCAAATTTTCATCATTTTTTGCACAGGTGTGGAATATAAAATGTATGTTGGATGAAAATTTTGTTTTTGTATCATTAATGTTAATAATAATATCTATAAAATTAACTCATATAATTAGGTTAATTTTGCACACAGAAGATAAAATTAAATTTTTTAGTGTTAAGATTCTATTTAAAAACTTTAATAAAAAAAATAATAAAAAAACAAATAAATTAAAGATTTTTTACAAATAATTTCAATAGTTTAACAGTTTATTAACAGTATTTATAAATACATGTAATCAAATTAAGAAAGAAAAGTTTTACTTGTTTGAATTCCTTTCTTATGCAACACCTTTACAATCTACATTAGCAATACATACAAATATATATATATATATATATATATATATATATATATATATACATACACAAATACATACATACATACATATATCTATATAAATATGTGTGTATATATATGCACTTATAAAAAAAAATATATATATATATATACGTGTGTGTGTATATATATATATAATTATATATATATATATATATATATATATATATATATATATATATATATATATATATATATATATATATATATATATATATACATATATATACACACATGTATATATATTTGTATTTATATATACATATATATACCCTTCTGTATATATATTTGTATTTATATATACAGCCCTTGGAATTAAGAAAAATAAGGTCAGCAATAAACTGTCGACCTTAAACTGTTAGTGGTCGGCATCAGGGTGGCAAAATTATTTCAACAAAGGTTTTACCATAAAACATAGAGAGAAGTTGTTTGGTATAAAAAATAAATTTTTTATACAATACTGAATTTATTAATAATTTTGGAACAATAATTAAAAAGTAAATGCACATAAATTATGTCGGACAAAATGACCGATAGATGTCATTTTTTACTGGACAATGTCCAATATATATATATATATATATATATATATATATATATATATATATATATATATATATATATATATATATATATATATATATATATATATATATATATATATATATATACACATATATATATATACATACATATATATATATATACATATATATATATATATATACATACATATATATATATACAGATACATATATACATATATATTCATACATACAAAATTACAGAATCTTTATTTGAGCTACATGCAAAAATTCAAGTTTTATCTAAAGAACGGTACTCATTTGATAAAATAGCAAAAAAACGAAAATCAAGTGTAATATACACGTTAACACAATTAAGTACAACAGGGATAAGCTTGGTTAAAAAATGCGTATGTAAACCTAGATGCACAACAAAGATAGATAAACATACTGTAGTTACTAGCAAACGTAATAGACGACTTCCAGCCACTATGATTAAAGAATTAAATAAAGAAAGAAAAACTCTAATATCAGTTAATACAATCAAGAGATGACTACGTATGAATAAACAAAAACAGTTTAAATGGCCAAGAGATCATAAATCACAGATATTCGATCAATGAAAAAAAGTCATTTGGACTGATGAATCAAAGTTTGAATTATTTGGAACCAGATGACATCTGTATGTCCGACTATTGGTAGAAGAGGATGTTAATGATATTTGTTTGAGTTATTCAGTGAAACAGGGTGGTGGTAATTTATGATTTGGGATGGTTTTGGAGGAGGAAAAGTTGGTGCAAAAGGAAAGGCGGAAAAGTTTGGAGAAGGAAAAGTTGGTTCAAGTCAAATCAACAATAGATAAAAAAAAGTGTACCATAGTATTTTGATTCATCATGCGATGCTATCTGGTATTTGTAATGTTTATAAAGGGTTTTTTTATATTAATTCACCTCCTCAAGGCCGAGAAGGCCACTACAGACGAGGAGGCTACTTATTTGTGGTTACAACCCTCTCTCAACTCTATAACTCCGAAACACAAACCTTGACGAGCAAGGCCGCTGCCCGGAGAAACGAGTTGAGCGCGGTACTACCAGGGACGTGGTGGGGATCGAACTCGGAACCACTCGTTTATGAAGCGAGCGCACTACCACTACACCACTACCGCATATTTGTGTTTCAACAAGACAATGACCCTAAACACACTTCTAAATTATGTTCAAATTATTTGAAGACAAAAGAAAAGCAGAAAGTGCTTAAAATCATGAGTTGGCCTTCACATTTATCTGATATAAACCCTATAGAGAAACTATGGAATGAGCTGGACAGAAGGGTATGCATAATATTCCCAACTAATATAAATAGTCTTTAGGAATGTCTTCAAGATGCCTGGAAAAACTTTTAAACATTAAATGAGTTACTCTCTCAAATGACACCAAATCTCTGTAAGGCTGTCGCTAAAGGTGATTGATGAGAGTAAAATCTGGCTAAATTATAAAATTAAAATATTGCTGAGAAATGCAATAGTAATACATTGATGAAACAAATGAGCATAAATTATTATATATATATATATATATATATATATATATATATATATATATATATATATATATATATATATATATATATATATATATATATATATATATATATATATATATAAGCCTTGTTTTAAAGCGTTACGCCTAGAGCGATTTACGTACGCCTTAAGCGCTTTTTACGTACGCGTAGAGCTGTTTTGGTTAAGCTACTTTTTATCATTTTTTAACTTTTAAATTAGCGGTAACATAAAAGAAGTAATTAATTTTCAAAAAAACCACATTAACTTTTAAATAACGATATGTATTTATTAAAAAAAAGAATTTACTTGTTTTTAATTAATTGTTTTAAAAAATTTAATGTAATTAATTGTTGTAACTTTTCATCGCGATATATCTTTCCTTTTTATAGCAATTAATTTGACGCTAAACTTTTTATCCAAATATTTAGCAACATGAAAAATTGTTTGTCAATCCTTAACTACAAATTTTTTGCAATGTTTTTAATAAAAAGTAGTAAAGTTTTTAGTAAAAAACTTTTAAAAAATCTATACTCCATATTGATTAATACAGAATATAAAAGTTTTTTGTAATATAGATTTTTTATGAATTTTTTACTGAATTTATAATAAAAAACATTTGCAAAAAAATTTGTAATTAAGAATTGACATTTTTTTAAATAAAATCTCAAAAAATGTCTTAATATTTTTGTTATCATGATAACAAAAATATCAAGACATTTTTTCGAGATATTAAAAAAAATGTCTTTGCTTTTCTTATTAGTTTAATAGTATATAGCTTATAGTTAGTTTAATAGTATATAGCTTTTCTTATTAGTTTATTAGTATATAGTTTAAGTTATGCGGGGGGAGGGGGTCGGCACAGAAAAAAAAATTACCTGTTACTCGCAATATTTGAATGAAGACAATTTGTTAAAATTCTTCTGCGTGCGATTCAATAAGTTTTTTTTGTCATAAATCAAGTTATAATATAAGGTAAAGAAATCATGACTACAACATCCGCTGATGACACTAATATTACGTTGAATATATTTATATAACGGAGGTTTTATTATGCACGCGCACATTACAGGTTCCGTTAAATAAATACTAAGGCACGTTTGAGTTTAATGACAGTCTCCATTTTTTACTAATGTATATGTATTTTTCTTTATAAAACAAAACAAACTAGTATATAAAAACCTTGTACAGGGTGGCCCATAAGTCACTTTACATTTTAAAAATTAAATAACTTTTTATTAAACAACTGTATTTAATTAATTCTTTTTTTATTACAAAGTTTAGAATCTGTAAGTTAGTTCTGACTTAGTTATGAAAGATAATGTCTCTTAAATAGCCTCCATTCTCGTCTTCACAATGTCGAGCTCTTTTTAAGCTATTCTCCACAACACTTCTTAACATCTGAGGTTGTAGGGAAAGAAATTCCTGTCATATGTTTGCCTTAAGATCTTGAATAGTTTGGGGCTTATTTGTGTACACTTTGTCTTTAAGATATCCCCAAAGCCAAAAGTCTGGTGCTGTCAAATCAGGAGAACCTGAAGGCCATTCAAAATTGGATTTAAGAGAGATTATCCGATCCTGAAACATTGCAGTTAACAACTGCATTGTGGCTCTAGCAGTATGTGCAGTTGCTCCATCTTGTTGCCACTAATACCCTGCCATGTTTGCTAACTGAGGTTGAACAAAATTCGCTTGCATGTCTTGATATTTCTCAGCAGTTACAGTCACAGCATTTTCATTTACATCTTCAAAGAAGAAGGGCACAATAACCTTTTCTGATGTTACTCCACACCATGTTGTGACTTTAACTGAGTGTAATGGACTCGCATGACCTTGGTGTGGATTTTCGGTGCCCCAAAATCTCATATTCTGCTTATTCACATGTCCGTTCAAATGGAAATGAGCTTCATCTCCCATGATCAACTTGTGAATAAACTCATTGTCATTTCTTGCAGTTCTCTGAAACCTGACAGCATAATTTAGTCGTTTCTGAAAATCTGGTGGTTGTAAAGATTGCACTAATTGAATCTTGTAAGGGTACATGTGCAAGTCTCTTTGAATGCGCTGCAGAGAACTCCGTGAAATGCCAAGTTCTTGAGAACGCCTTTGAGTGGATGTGGTTGGGTTCTCTTCAATGCTACGGCTCGCAGCTTCAGTATTTTCACATGTACGTACTGAACGACCTCGTCCACTTTTAGTCCTATCATTTACAGAGCCA